TTCTCCATCTTATTTAGGATTCAGCTCAGTTGTCACTGCCTCAGAGATTCCTCTACCATCACCCTTGTGGTGGACACTGTGAGGTGCCATCCAGAAATTCCTTAAAGATGGGACTTGTTGGTCCAGCTTCTGAGAGTGCAGTGGGCAGACAGCTTGCACTTGCTAGCCTTCTCTGTGATTGCCTCGGCTACAGGGAGCTGCCTTGCCCAAGGTCATATCCTTCCTCTGATAGCCCTCATCCAATAACTTGTTGATGTGGAGGTATCAGGTCAGGACAAGTCTGCATGACTGTTCAACCTCCAGGACTCCCTCAGGGTTGGCCAAGACTGTCCCTGGCCTGCAGTGCAGCTTGACATCGCCCTCTGCTGACCCTTGCCTCCTGTTCCCTCTCCACAGATGTAGATTCCAAGAGCACCGCACATCCTAATACACATCCTGCATATTACTCTGTCTTGGTGTCTGTTTCAGGGGAGCCCTCCAACGTGACTATGGCCACTGCGCCTTCTCCGCTGGGAGGGACCATCTTGTTCCATTCTCACCCTTTGTATCGACTCACGAAGTACATTTTCTTTTCAGTACAAATCAGAGTCTGTCATGAACTGAATTTGTTTATTGCTTGTTTCCCCTCACACCCAGTTCCCTTTACTAAAATATAAGAGTCTTTTATTTTAGACTCTTTTCTTTTTAAATCAAGTTTTATTAAGGTTTACTTGTATGACATGGTGACTGTAGTCAATAATACTGTATTGTATACTTGAAATTTGCTAAAATATAAGATTCTTATCTTCCTCAAAGGCATTCAATAAGTATCAGTTGAATTAATACACTATAATATAATGGTTAAATTCATCCTGCATTTGAAGCTAAACATCCTGGGTTCAAATCCTGATTGTGACACTTCCTAACCAGTGATCTTGCCCAAGCTTTTAAATCCTGGGAACTACCAGTACTTGGCCTAGGGCATGCATAGCACAGGGTAAGTGCTCAATAAATTTTAGCAATTAATAGTCAATTCATTCATGGGGTTGTTGTGAGGATAAAACGAGATAATATATGTAATTGGCATAGGTACCATAGTACCTAATTCAGAATAAGCCCTCAGCAAATTTATCTATTGTCATTACCAACTGTCCAAGTTAAATGCCTGGAAAGCAAGTCGGTGGCCTCAGCTTTGGAGTCCCCTGCAGTGCCAGGCACCGCACTGAGTAGACTGGAGGCACAAAATCAAGCCTCGAGGGTTGACGAACAATCCTTCCTCCTTCATCCTCTAGGGCAAGGAGTGGGCTGCCTTTCTTCTGAGCACTCCACAGTGCCTAACCCACTGCCAGCCACACAGCAAGCACTTCACATGGGCACTTTGAAAAGCTGGTTTGAACTGAATTTCAGTGTCATTAGGATGCTAAAATGTGGTCTCCATGGTGACTCCCAGCCCAGCAGTCTGAGGAAGGTGCTTCCAGATCTGGTGGCTGGCACACTGCAGCCTCTAAACACATGCCATATTTTTTCGCATTTCTCAGACAGATTGTGGGTTGTGTGTTCATTAATTAAGATGAGAGTAATTGGTCCCAGCAAATAGTTTGTACATCAGCTTGCAAATTGTGTGCACTACGAGGCCCCGTGGTTCTTTCTTCCCTATCTCATATCTCTATAGCTGGTTCCTTGGCTCCTGACTATTTCCCAAAATCCCCAGCCCCTCATTTTACTGTAACAGTTGAGGAATAAAGGGAGAGTAGGATTTAACATGAAATTTCTTTGGCTTATTGTAAGTCTGTTCATGCCCACGGAGGGAAGAAATAATAAACCCCCTCATCTGTATGCAATACTTTGTGATTTTTAACAAATGCTTTTACACATGCCATTTCATGTATTCCTCACTTTCTCCCTGGGAATCAGTTATTATTATTGTTAAAGCTGTTAAGGGTTCAGTGCTATAGAGCACCAATTTTATCTTCTCCACTTAGCCACTGTAGAAATGGCAGCTTGTGTGGGCTGTCCACCTGCGGCTTTCCCATTGTGAAATATGGTGATAACCTAGGACCTACTTCATGGGGTTGAACTGGGAACTCGGCGAGATAATGCAGAGAAAGCACAGACACCACATAGTGGGCTCTCCGTGTATTTTGTTGTGAATATGCCCATTTTACAGATAAAAACTCAGGGCTCTGAGACACCCAGTTGCTTGGCCAAGATCTCTGGCTTGCAAGGGGCTTGATAGATGCTAGACTTCAAGCTCTCTGATTTCTAAATAGACGCTCTTTCTACTCCATGACCTTAATTCTGGCTACCACAGGCTGAGTCTGTGCCTAGTGTGGGGTCCGGGCTATACACTGGACTTTAGGTTCTAGTGCTTCTGGTCTACAGAGTCCTCTCTGAAAGGTTGTTATGTACAAGGATCCTTGCTCCTATGAAACATTTCCTCTGATTTTTTCCTATAGCAAGGCTAATTTGCAGCTGTTGTAAAGATGTCATTTTTTTTCTTGCATCACGAAATGACTCACACCCCTCTTCAGTTATTGTACCCCAAGGCCATTATAACATTCTGTTATTTACAGCACTGTGACACCGGAGCAGCCAAAAGGCTCTGCTGCTTGCCTTATTTTCTGTAATTATTTTGTTCTTTTCTATCCCTAAAACAAGCCTGTTGGTGCCAATGGAATGGGCCTTTTCGGACAGTCTATGGTGAAGGACCAGAGAGCCCCAGGTAGTGAGGACCGTGTTGTCTTCCTTATTCCTGGGCAGTATCTAGTAGAGTGCTTTGCACATGGTAATCCCTCAATCAGTACTTGTTGTATGAATGAACAAATAAATCAGTTGGTTGATAAATCAGAGTTATGAGTTCATATGCTGAGTTTGGCCCTGGCCTTCTCTGACTTTTCAGCTCTATCAGTCAACCCCATGTTCACATGCAGTTGTCTCATTGTGTGCTTTCCTGACATTTCTTGCAAATCACTCACCCAGATCCCAGTGCATGTTCCTTCAGACACACCTGTGTGAGGGAGAGCATGGTGTGTAGTATCTACTCATCTCAGGGCTGAGAAACTTTCTCAAAGCAGAAAGCCATCTGGGTGACTAGGTAGGCCCTCCATCAAATGCCTCACCTGATGGAGCATTAGGGCTGGAATTCCTGGCACCATAGTGAGTGTCCTCATCCTGCACTAGGAACAGAACCTGGGAAGCTTGCCATGTCTCCCCATGCCTTGCTCTGTGACTGTGGATTCTGTGGAGCAGCAGAGCAGCAAGACGAAAGATGGATGTTTCAAAGAGGAAGCAAGGATAGTTGTATGGAAGGTCTTGGAAGCTGGAACAGCAGAGGCAGGTGGCCAGGGCCTTCCCAAGAAGCCCTCCTTGAATCTTGCGTGGGATTCTACCATTTGAAGGTAACTAAGACACACATGTAAAACCGCGCAATAGAGGAGAAAGCCTTGGCAAAGCTGTAGTGAGACTTGCACTCTAATTCTTGTCTTGCTACTTATGAGGTCTGTGACCTCTACCAAGCCCTGTAGCTTTCTGAGCCTCCGTTTTCTCATCTGTCTAGTGCCATAAGTGATCCCTGCCTGTTGCTATTGTGTAGAACAACCTGAACAAGGTGATGGCTATGGGGAGGGTTTGAGAAAGACCGCTTATGCTACCTAAGACAAACTGCAAGTGTTATTGTAGGGCAGTGAGGAGCTATATATAGGATATTTTAATACAGAGAATGTTCCCTGGATTAAATGGCTTCTTATTCCAAGGAGAAAAATTAGTTCTAGCCCAAGGCTAGTCATTAAATCAGCAAAATGATTTTTGGGGGCCTCAGTTTCCTTACTATTTGAGATGCAGGTTAGGTTAAATGACCTTTAAATTCCTACTAGGGGCACATTAGGGTAGATACTAAGCTCAGTTAATTTGTGGATAGCAGATTAACTACATGGAAAAGAAGTCTGTCTCCATCTTGGGGAAAGGAAATCACATTTACTGATACCTGCTCTTTGTCAGGTAGTTACATTCCCTACCTCATTTAACTGTCACACAGCCCTACGAGGTGCAATAAGCCCTGTGGGGATACTAAAGCTTTATCAGCCTTTATTACCCTCACTCTACTGAGAAGAGAACAGCCTTAGAGAATGTTATGGGTAAAGCTGTACCCCTCCTCTCACCCCCAAATGTATATGTTGAAGTCCTAACATTCAGTACCTTAGAATGTGACTTTGTTTGGGAATAGGGTCATTGCAGATAGAGTTAGTTAGGAGATGCCATTATGAGGGGCCGGGGAGGGGGTTGTAATCCAGTATAACTGATGTCCCTATAAAAAGGAAAAATTTGGACAGACGGACAGACGCAGTGCCATGTGAAGACGAAGGCAGAGATCAGTATGACTCTTCCAAAAGCCAAGCAATGCCAAAGGTCACCAGAAAACTACCAGAAGCTAGAGGAGAAGCCTGGAATGGATTCATCTCACAGCCGTCAGAAGGAAATAGCCCTGCCAACACCTGGATCTGGGACTCCTAGCTCCTCAACTGTGAGACAGTAAATGCCGTTGTTGACGTCACCTGGTTTGTGGCACTTTGTCTCAGCGAGCCTAGAATACTAAAACAGAGAGGTTAAGTGACTTGCTCAGGGTTGCAAAGCTAGAACTCACTCCTGGGTCTTTTTCATTCGAAAGCCTATGGATTTGTCACTGCCTATTGTCTGATACCCTGAGGTGTTGAGCCCATGTGTGTGAAAGAATGGGGTCAGTGAGGACGTTTCTGAGCCCATGTCAGATCTGAGCATCCTCTGCCCTGGCCACGACTGGTCCTCTCCCCTGCCAAAGGGAGGGATGGAGGCCCTGAGGACCCGGGCCTCTTCCTTCTTCATCCTTCTTGCTGTCAGCACTGGGGGAAGCAGCAGGGAGGCAGGCAGCCTCTGGCTTGGCTGGCTTCCCCAAACAGTGTCCTCCCACAGTTAGATGTGGCATTATCCTGCCAAGGAACCAGATGCTCCACATTGTAATGTGATGTCACAGCAGGAAAAGGTGTGTGAGCAAAGGTAATCATGGAAGACACTGCTCGGGCTAATGTCGCCTCTTGCTTAACAGCCCATGGCTGCTGGCCCAGGCAGCTGAGAATTGGCAGTACCCTGGGACTTGTGCACACTCACTTATAACACTTGAGACATGCTTGTCTGTTCGCAGGCCAGGACTTTATGGGCCCTTGGGCAGGAGACCCCGAAAACCCCACAGAAGGTGCAGAAAGGGCAGCAACAGAGGAACTGTCAAAATAAATAAATAAAGATCTCCTGGGCACCCGCATTTTCTCAATTTACTCTTCCACTTACCTACCCTGTGAGGCGGCTTTCACCAGTTGCTCTTTAATCTGGGGAGCAAATGAGCTCAGAAATGTGAGGCAAGTTTTCCAAAGTCATACAGTAAGAAGAAGGAAATTAAAGGTGAAAAACTGGTCTATCTACAAGAATCTCTATGCTCTTTTATCCACAGCACAGACCATAATACACATAACTGTGGGCGTGATTCTGGCTGTCTTCTGTACCTCCTCCTTACCTTAGAGAACCAGCAGAGAAGTCCGTTGGAGAGAGTTGGCTTTTGATTTTCTTCTTAAATTGCAGATCCAACCACATCATTCAGCAGGTGAGCCCCTACTGCCTATGAGAGATGTGTGGACTCCTTGGCCTGGACTTGCCTGACCTTTGGCTCCTTTGCCGCCCTTCCTCCTCACCCTGCTGCTCTCCCCACACAGAGGCCAGCCTCTGGAATCCCCAGACTGCCCCTTTCCCGAATGTGTGGTCTGCCCACTTTGCTCAGCCTGCTCCTCCCGGCTTGGTGTGCCCTCCCCTGCACTACATGAAAAATCCTGCTCATTAGTCAGAAATCAGTCCTCTTTGTGCTGCCTTTCTGGGAGCTCCCAGGAAGTTCCAGCACAGTTGTCAGTGCCGTGATCGTTGCCTAGCATAGGGACCCTGAGTGTCGCCTCTGGAGTCAGACTGCCTGTTGTTACATCCTTTCTCTGACATTTCCTAGCTGTGTAAGCCTGGAGAAATTGCTTAGCCTCGCTGTGACTTCTTGTGAAATGAAGATGACGATAATGAGTGCTTACTCCATGAGATTATTGGGCAGACTGAAAATGGCAAGCATATAAAGCACCCCATGTAGTGCATTGGGCTATTTTTAATAGTCTTGCTTATTTATGCCATTAGACTGTGTGCTCCTTGAAGTTGAGGACTGCATCTTATTTCTCCTTTGTAGCCACCATAGTTCCTAAACGGAGCCTTGTGGCCAGTTGATAAACCTTTGCTAAACAAAAGAAAAATATGTGCATAAATAAAAAGAGATGACAAGATTTATAGTAGCATGTGTGTATCCAGTATCAACCAGGTGATAATAATACTAATAACAGAATTACCCAGTATGTTTATTGAGTGATTACTGTGTGTCAGACACTGTCTTAAACACTTTGCCTGTTACCTCATTCAATTGTCTCAACAACCTTCTTAAGTAGTGACTGTCATTTGTGTTGCCATTTTATGGATGAGGAAACTGGGGTACGTGGATTGCAGTGACTTCCCTATGGTTAAACAGCTAGAGTATAGCAGAGATGGATTCAACTCAGGCTGCCTGGCTGAGAGCCCATGCTCATGGCCACCCCATTTTGCTGCTTCCAAGGAAGGTGTAATGGCAGTGATCAGCCCAGGGAGGCAAAAGGAGGATCTTAAAATAGCAACCCATGCTAAGAGGCAGGACACAGTGAGGAAGACAGGCAGGGGCTGGCTGTGTGCAGAGCAAGAAGGTGGGGCTGAGACCTTCACTGCAAATGGCCCTGGTACAGTCCTCACTTTTCTCTGTGAGTCAGTCCAGTTGTCTTAAAGGAACTGAGATAGAGCAGATGGCCACAGATGTACAGGTGTGTTCCTCCTACCTGAAGGCAGGAAGATGGGTACCATGGAGCCTTCCTTTTATTTTGTGTTGTGTTCCTGGCAACTAGCAGAAAGTCTGGCACTTAGTACATATTTAATATACAAGATAGTTCAATGAATGTGTGAGGATTCAGGAACTCCAGGATTTCATAGCATGAACAGATATGCAATTTCCATTTATTTTACTTTAAACCTCTTCTCATCTGTCTGCCAGAAAGCCCAAGTTAGGGGAGAGGATGCACATCTTTCCGTGATGAGATTTTGCTTATCCAAGAAGCCTGCATCTCTCATCATCAGCTCATGCATAGCCTTCGAGAGCCCTGCACTTCTGTAGCTCCAGCGGGTGGCATTGCTATGAGTGATGAAGCCCCCGGATGGTCTCAGTGGTGAGCAAATATTAACACTTTGAATCAATTGCACCTTCTTGATGACTGGGAAAACTGTTCGGAGGCTGGCAGAGAGTTATTGCACCATGCAACAGTCGAGTGTGGCTGATATAGTGGGAGCGAATGGCATAAATGAGTTTAAGGCTAAGATGGATTTGCACTTGGAAACTGAAATCATGCAATGGGGTTTGCTGGTGGAATTGCAAAGTGCACCTGGAAGAATGCCAAGAATAATGCAGATGTCTCAGCCCGTGCTTTTCATTGTAGCCAACTACAGAATGGGAAAATTAATTGTACCTGCCTCATAAGGTAGCAAGTTGATGTACATGAGTTAATGTAAATAACTTAGAATGGTACTGAGTATGTAGTAAGCAATTAATGAGTGCCACTCAGCATTAACACATACTAGGCACCCATAATACAACTAAGAATAGACGGATTGGATTATAAGATGGAGAGGGTTGTCCTCACAAATCCTACAGTGCAATAAATGGTGTTACAACCAGTCACATAACAGTGTTGCAACTGTTGTGCAATGTGATAGGTGTTGTGATGGCAAAAAGACAGAGTGTAGTGCAACTCAGAAGAGAGGCTACCCTAAGCTAGACCTGGATGATCAGGGAAGGTCTCAGGATAAGGCGGCACAATGTGAGGAATAGCAAGCAGGAGGTGGTCAGGTGGAAAACAGGTGAGAGGATGCTCCTAGGCAGCTTATGCAAGGACCTGGAGGTGAGAAAGACCGTGTTCATTGTGGGCACTCAATGTGGAGTTAGTGGGTATATGTATTCCCTAAAGCTGCCGTGACAAAATACCACAAACTGGGGTAGCTTAAGACAACAGAAATTTATTCTCTTGCAGTTTCTAGAGGCTAGAAGTCCAAAACCAAGGTGTCGGCAAAGCTATACTCTCTCTGAAGATTCTGGGGAAGAATCCTTCCTTGCCTCTCTCTATCTTCTAGCAGTTGCTAGCAGTCCTCAGCATTCCTTGGCTTGCAGCCGTAGTGCTCCAGTTTCTGCCCCTGTCTTTACGTGGCTGTTCTACTTATGTGTGTGTCTTGGTTTTCTCTTCTTATAAAGACAACAGTTATTGGATTAGCGTGGTTTCTAATTTGTCCTATTGGACTCGGTCCTATTGGTCTAATTCAATAGGATTAGACTCACCCTAATCCAGTTTGACCTCATGTTAACTAAATATATTTGCAAGAATCCTACTTCCAAATAAGGTTATATTTTGAGTTTCTGGGTAGACATGAATTTTGAGGGGATGCTATTCAACCCAGTACAATGGGGGTGGCCAAGGGGAGTAGAAATGATTAAAGGTGAAAAGAAGACAGGAATCAGATTATGAAGGGATTCCTAATAAAAAAAAAAATAAACATTCATGGCACTTACAATATATTAAGCACTGTGGTAGGCACTTTACACATGTAATATGCACACTCCCATTGAAAGAGGGAGAATCAGGTTGACTGAGGCCAGAGGGGAAAATCAGAGTTTACAAAGTGTGTCATCAGTTAGGGTCCTAGTAGAAAATAGAAGGTACACTGGATTAGAGTAATTCAAAGAGGGTTTAATAAAGGGATTGTTTAAGTGAGCAGAGTATAGGGAAAACATAGGAGATAGAGCAATGTGCAGGGCTGCTACCACTCCTGGAAATGGATGGTGTGGGTGAGGGAGCAGGTACTGGAACTAAGACCAGGAAGTCCTGTGAAGAAGCCATCTTGAGCAGAGCAGTGACTTTTGGTTGAGAAAGGACGCCATCCCAAGGTGACGACACAGGGAGGAAGCCAACGGAGTGAATACACTAACTTGGTCTCTTGTCAAGACCCTGTTGGCCTACCTCAACCGGAGGACAAAAGAGAACAAGAGAGCCCATGGTGTAGTTCACACGGATAGCATCCTGGGCTCTGGGCTGAGTGGAGAAGCCTGGAGCATGGATCTGGAGGATCAGACAGAAGACATCTTGCACTGGGGCATTGTTGAGAAGGCAGAGCCTGAGAGCCAGAAAATGGGGAAGTTAGGTTGTGATGAGCAAGGTGACATAACCCAACATTAAGAATGCACATGAGGTCAGGCACGGCAGCTCACACATGGAATTTTAGCACCATGTGAGGCCAAGGGAGGCAGATTGCTTGAGGTGAGGAGTTTGAGACCAGCCTGAGCAACATAGAGAGACCCTGTCTATACAAAAAATACAAATAATAATAATAATCACTGGGCGTGATGGCACATGCCTATGTTTCCAATTACTTGAGAGGCTGAGGCAGGAGGATCACTTGAGCCCAGAAGACAGAGGTTGCAGTGAGCCAAGATGATGCCACTGCTCTTCAGCCTGGGTGACAGAGTGAGACCCTTTCTTGAAGCCCTGTGATCACTCACCCTCATTCCCTATAGTACTAATATAGATTTATGCGTACATTAATCTATTCAGCATGTATTTGCTGAGCATCTAGCATATGTCCATCACTGGTCAAACATATAGTGGTAAACAAAGCAGACAAAATTCTCTGCCCTCAAGGAGCTTACATTCTGATGGGAAAAGTAGATAGTAAACAAATAAAGACAATATACTGACTGTCAGAAGATGATTAAGTGCTATGGATAAAAACAAAGCAGAAAAGGGAAAGAGGGAGTATCAGGGGTGGGGTTGCAAATGGAAATAGAGTAGAATGAAGGTGATATGTGAGCACAGATCTAAATGGAGTTGAGGGAGGACACCATTCTGATACCTGGGGGATGAGGATTCCAGGTAGAAGGAAGATCATGTATGAAGGCTATAAACCAGAGCATGTCTGGAGCATCTGAGAAGAAGCAAGGATGTGCATGCTGGGAACTGACTGGGATGAGATCAGAGAGGTAACAGGAGCCAGATCTGCAGATCCTGTGGTCTTTGAAGGTCTGTGTTCTGCATGATACAACAGCATATTCTGAAATCCTGGCTGTCCTATGTGAACATTGCTCTCCCATCTGTAAAATGGGGATAAGAGTCCTCATTTTGCTTATCTCCAGTGGTGTTTGTAAGGGTCCAGTGAAAAGATGGGTTATGGTATAGCTTTGAAAATCATTAAGTATAAGGCAAGATAATGTTTGTATTGCTTAGTAATTTTGCCTCAGGCCACCTGCTGCTGAGTAGAAAGGCTGCCCATGCCTTCATGAATGTGGCTGTGCTGGACCATTGCTTGACAGCGGGTTGTCATCTTTTCACACAGAAACTCATCTTCCTCCTCTCCTGGGCCTCCAACTCCCAGGCCTCATTTTTAAAACAGCAATTTCTCCCCACTGTGTTTCATGCCCCAAACCTCCTAAGTGGAATTACAGACCAGTAACTCACA